TCGATGGAGTGGTCGATAAAAGTGAGAGAATGACTGTTAAGATAGACCTCCAGTTGATATCAGATGTGAGCAAAAAGATTGCGTTCAATGCCTCCGCTTTTTTCGACATTCATTTGTCTACTATTTTGGCCATTATTTCCGCTATTATTTCCTATACTGTTATTCTCATTCAGACTACACTTATTGAATGAATTATACGATTGTTTATATAAATATATTACATTTATTATGTTATACAGTATTATCATATAATCTGTGTTAGAAATTTATAAACATTCTATGAGTTGTCAAATAAAATACATTTATTTTAATGATGAAATGCCGTAACACGAAATGTCCTGGTGCTCTAAAACATGGACAAATTGCTTAATTATAATAATTTAAAAGTTATTTTGTTATCGTAGATAGCAATAATGTACTTACACCAGAATATGTATATATAGTCTGTGTCCAGTCCTTATAATTACCAAAATGTCTAATCCTATAAACTTCTGGTGCTGTATCATTAGGTATCTCCCATGTAATAGTGGCTATACTCTGACATGAAAGCAATGGAAACCCAGTTTTCATCCACATAAACCTATCAATAAGTCTCATATGAGTCAGACTGTCTGTTAACACCTTCATATATAGTGTCAAACCTGGTCTCCCAATTAGCATCAGTTGCAATGAGCGTCCATTGATTACTATTAGTGTCCAGTTTCTCAACGGCAAGGAAGGTGCTCTCATCCCTTACGTTATTGCGAGGGTTTCCGCTCACGAAAGCCACTTTGACGGTCGACCCTATCGTGTACTCCATCAGCGGTTGACTAATACAGTCCCCAAACTTCTTGCCGTCGGGGGTGCAGTCAAACAGTACCCCCGGAACGAGACTTGTTTGTTGATCCAAATAGTTTGGCTCTGGAGGGCCGGCAGATACCGTACTATTTGTGGCCAACTGGGAGGCCAGATATCGATACTGCTGTATATAGGCGTCCAGAGTGTAGGGGCCGTATATAGTAGACGCCCCCTCATATCTCTGTATTTGATACCTATTTAGACAATTGATTTAGAAAATGATTGATTTGTATGAGTTGTGAAGACATAGTATGTCTGACATACTCTTCAAATGTGACCACATATGAGGAGTAAGTGTTGGACAGACCAGATATGACGGGCTCTACTGTTATGTTTTCGGCCGAGTTCTTCTCGTATTCCCTTTTGATGGCATCCCTTAGCCTACGGCCAGACATTGTCGACAGTTCCGCCGGCAGTGATGCCACCAACACGTGTCCGATCCTGAATATCTGTGTGGGAAGTATGGATGGCTGCCACGGGAACGGGAACTTCAAGTCACCCGTAGGCAAAAGGATATGCTTTGGGTACTGACAGTCCAGCATTTGTTTAGTAGTATTTTTGACACGAGATTTCACTTTATTCCACAATATGTTTGCGGTGTCACCTAATTATCACAATAACAAAATAATAACAATTTTAATTGCTGATTCAAATTATTTTTATAAATTAAAATAAAGACCCTGTTTAAATGGAAAGAGTCCAGGTCCGTCCGTAGTACCGGATGCAAAACTAAATCCCATTGCAGCCTTACA